CCCAGCCGGGCCCCGCCGCGGAAGAGGCGGCGTGGAAAAACCACCAGGCGGGGGGGGGGAGAAGTGTTTACCACACTTGTGGCGCCGCGCAAATGTTAGCTAATGATAGCAGGCTGGTGGTTTGCGTGGAAGGAGCTGCACGACATAAAGCTATTTTCAATCTACAGCTTAGAGAGCGGGGCAGGCAGCGACGGGCGCAGAGGCAGGCGCACGAACAGAGCGGGCCGAAGCCTGAAGCCAAGTGCCGTGCTCCGTGGATGCTTTTCCCACCCCGCAAAGCACAGTTCTGGATAACGGGGTTGCGGGATTTTTTGTTTGGTTGGTTTGTTTTAAAAATACACTTTTTCCTACAAAGCTAGAATCTATGCGGGCAAAGCTTGAGTTGTGACTCTGCAGCCGCATTTAGTCCCAAAGTTGTACCCTTTCAACCAAACCGCACTACTGCGCCTCATACTTATTTGTTGTCCATCATGGTTGACTTCAGGTCAAAAAATTGCGAGGCTCTTCCAGGAGAGGAATGAAGAGCAGTGCTTTGAATCTCAGGCAAAACCACTGTCAAACAATAAAAGTCGTGCCTGAACTGAGAACCTGCCAAGCATTTTGACTCCGGAAAACGGCCACAGCCCGGAGCGGGGGGGAGAAACCCGACTTAACGGCGTTTGTTCGTTGTTAGGAAAATTACCTTGGGACCAGCCATTTCTTTCGTCACCAGATTCCGAGGAACTGCAACGACCACGTTTTAATATCCCTTCTGCTGTTTACTTGGCAAGGTCGGCTGCCCGCGCATAGCAGGTCAAATGAGGTGACTCCCTCACTCCCTTCATGGGCATTTATGAGGTGGTGTTAAAATACTATTCCCAACAGAAAAACAGCGGTGTAAAAGGGCACGGGAGGCCTGCGCAGCCCTCTTAGGCTGCGTGAGAAAAGCTCATCCGCACACCCCCAGCGGAGCAGAGAGAGACAATGGCGGGAGGAGAAGCCCGAAACACCCGGCCCCGAAGGGGCGCCCTGCCCGGGCCCGCCCCTGTCCCAGGGGAGCCATCAGCCCCATTGTCCGGGCGTGAAACCCATCACGAAGAGCCGAGGGCTGGAGCACCTTTCAGATGGGGGTGCTGCCTCCAGGGGCACCGGACACGTTACAAGGTGCAGGGGAAGAGCATTTTGGGATTGCACAGGGCTTCCCATGGGATGTTCAGGGAGGAATGGAAAGCGGGGGATAAGGAAAAAAAAGGGCCAGTTGCATGTAAACTGTTGGCTGGCCAGCACTCATGTCCAGCCTTGCCCTGCATTTGATCAGCACAGTCTGTCCTATCGTGTTATTAAATTCCATTTCTAATTCTTTCCCTGGGTGAGGTACTCTCTATTTGGGGCGATGTGGTGTGGATGGGGGTCTGAGTGCCAAGTCACAGGGGGCCCGTGTGCCCGTGGCACAGCGAGCACGGGCGTGCAGGTGAGGCTGGGAGCACTAGTCAAGATCCAGCCGGCAAGGAGGTGAAGCGGCCTGGGAGCTGGAGGGGTGCCTGTAAGGGAGAAGCTGCCTATCGGAGGAATCGGGATAGTCCCAGCCAGCTGCTGGAGAGTGTGGGGTCTGGGGGTCTATAGGGGTGAGACCCACTGGTGTCTGTGTCTCTAAGGGTGAGGCCATGGCAGGTTGGCTACTGGAGGGACCAGGGGAGTCCTGGCCAGTCATGCACGCACACACGCTTGTGTGTGTGTTTGTGAGTGAGG